GGGTGGGGCCGGCGTCCCTGGGCTCGCTGATTGGGTGGCACCGGGAGGGGCGGCACTGGGCGGGGCGGAGCCAGATGCCCGAGGATGGGCCGAGGTCCGGAATCTCTGAGAATAGGCCTGTGAGGCGGGGCTCAGGGCCCTCGAGGAATAAGGGAAGGGTGGCTGGTGCGTTGAGAACTGGCAAGGTACTAGGGTCCGCCTTCAGCCCTTGCCCTTCCTGATCCCCAGTTTCCAGCCTGGAGGCTTCAGCGTCCGCCTCTGGCCTCCCTGGATCTTGCCTGACCTGGTTCTGGTCAATGACAGATTCCTCCCAAAGTGCTCAGCCCAGAGCAGCACATAGTAGGTGTTCAGTAATTTTTTTTTTGAGTCGGAGTCCCACTCTGTCACCCAGGCTGGAGTGCAGTGTCACACGAGCCTCCATTGCAGCTATCCTTCTGCCTCAGTCTTCCAAGTAGCTGGAACTACAGGCGTACCACCACGCCCACCTAATTTTTTATTTATTCATTGTAGAGACGAGGTCTCCCCATGTTGCCAAGATTGATCTCGAACCCCCGAGCTCAGACAATGTCTCACTTCAGCCTCCCAAAGTGTTAGAATTACAGGCGTGAGCCACCGCACTCGGCAATTGTTTTTTTTTTTTTTTTTTTAGTAGGAGTTTCTTTTTGTCACCCAAGCTGGAGTGCAGTGGCACGCTCACGGCTACCTAGTGGCATGCTCATGGCTGCCTACCTATCTTGACCTGCTGGGCTCCGGCAATCCTTCCACCTCAGCCTTCAAAGTAGCTGGAACTACAGGCACGTGACCATGCCCGGCTAATGTTTTTTATTTATTGTAGAGAGGAGGTCTCGCCAAGTTGCCCAAGCTGGTCTCAAATCCCTGGGCTCAGGCACTTCTCAACTTCTGCTTCCCAATGTGCTGGGGTTACAGGCGTGAGCCACCGCACCCGGCTCTCAGTAATTTTCTGTTGAAAGAAAGAGGATGGTAGAGGAGCTCCGAGGCCCCTGTGGGCTTGGCAGAGCCTGGCCTGGTCCCTGGTGCCAACCACCCTTTCTGCAGGTTCTCCCCCCACCCTGTTCATTCTGCTCTGCAGGCTTTATGACCCCCGCGGAACACAAGCAGCTAGAGAAGCTGAGCTTACCACACAACATGTTCTGGGTGCCCTGGGTGTGGTTTGCCAACCTGTCCATGAAGGCCTGGCTTGGAGGTCGAATCCGGGACCCCATTCTACTCCAGAGTCTGATGAACGTGAGCCCACCATACAGAGGGCTGCTGCCGAGTGGGAAGAGTTGTGGCCCAGATGAAACAAGGTTTCCTACAAAGAGAAGACTTGAGCCCCCGGGGAGGGTGGTCATCTTCCCACACACAGCCTGTGGTGAGGTTGTAGGATATTTTCCGGCAGGATTCTGCAGTCCAAGGTGATCCCTCCTCAAATGCTCCTCCCGTCTCTCCTCTCTAGTGAGGCTGCGAAATCCTGGTATCTTTTTGACAGATGAGGGGGCTGAGGCATAGAGAGGTTTGGTGAGCTGCCCCTGACCACACGGCTAGGGCTAGACCATGAACTGGACCCTCGTTGCTGGAGAAGAGTTGGGGGTGTTCCTGGGAGAGCAGGCGTTGTTCGGAACACTCCTTCCTCCTGACCCGCAGGAAATGAACACCTTGCGTACTCAGTGTGGACAACTGTATGCCTATGACTGGATCAGTATCCCACTAGTGTACACACAGGTGAGGACTAGGCCGGTAAGGCTGCCCCTATGGGAAACTGAGGCTAGAAAAACCCAGGGAGCGGCCTGTGACAGAAAGAGCTCACCTAGAGGCTGAGTAAAACGCTCACCCTGGGGGTTGGGTCTGGAATTGGAAGCTAGGTCTGAACTTTGAAGTGCCAGGTTCTAAGAGTCCAGGCTCCTGCCTGGTTCAGTGTAAGGCAGTGTGTGAGTGACCCATTTTATTTTATTTTTATCATTTATTATTCTTATTTTTTTGAGTCGAGGCCTTGTTCTGTCGCCCAGGCTGGAGTGCAGTGGCATGATCATGGCTCACTGCAGCCTCAATCTCCTGACTCAGGTGATCCTTCTGCCTCTGTCTCCTCAGTAACTGGGACTACAAGCATGTGCCACCACGTCAGGCTATTTTATTTTTTTTAAGTTGGAGTCTCACTCCGTCACCCAGGCTGGAGTGCAGTGGCATACTCACGGCCACCTCAGCGTCAACCTGCTGGGCTCCAGTGATCCTTCCGCCTCAGCCTTCCAAGTGGCTGGAACTATAGACCCGCCCTACTACGCCCACCTAAATTTTTTTTTTATTGTAGAAATGAGGTCTCGCCCAGTTGCCCGGGCTGGTCTCAAACTGTGGGCTCAGGCAATCCTCTTGCCTCGGCCTCCTGAAGTGCTGGGATTACAGGCTTGAGCCACCGTGCCCATCCTATTTATTTATTTATTTATTTTTTTGTGGAGGTGAGGTCTTGTTATGTTGCCCAGGCTGGTCTCCAACTCCTAGGCTCAGTCAATCCTCCTGCCCCGGCCTCCCAAAGTTCTGGGATTATAAGCATGATCCACTGCACCCAGCGATTACCCTTATATTTATTTATTTTATTTATTTTTGAGTTGGAGTCTCACTCTGTCGCCCAGACTGGAGTGCAGTGGCACGCTCCCGGACACCACAGCCTCGACCTGCTGGGCTCAGGCGATCCTTCCGCCTCAGCCTTCCAAGTAGTCAGAACTACAGGCATGTGGCACCACGCCCAGCTAATTTTTTGATTTATTGCAGAGACAAGGTCTCACCATGTTGTCCAGGCTGGTCTCGAACCTCTGGACTCAGGCAATCGTCTTGCCTCGGCCTCCCAAAGTGCTGGGATGACCGGTATGAGCTCCCACGCCTGGCAGATCACCCCATTTTAAAGAGGAGATAACAGAGACCCAAAGTGACATCAGTGTGACAGA